AAAGCAAGTCTTTCTTAGGAATGCAACTCTGAGATCTCTTTAAATTCTAATAAGAATAAGGGCCTAAGAAAAGAGTGATTAAAATAAACTCAGAATAAGCCCAGTGGTGAAGGGGGCCCCCATATTTCTTAATTTAAGGCTGGGCCAATTGTTGACTCACAACAACTGTACCAGACCCATTCTGTGCCGAATATGGGATAACATTTCAAGCGGAAAAAGTAGACCGAGAGCATGTGAACACTGAGTACAGACACAAAAAGGAAGCTGTATGCACATTCACAAGCTGTAACAAAATCTGAAAGGAATTTCATCTTACTAAGTTTTCCTTCTTTTGGATACCTCTTCACAATACAAGCGAAAGGATTCCAGGGTTAATGTGCAGGCTGAGTTTCTGATTCAACTGAGGACAGAACAGATTTTGTAAACTTAGTGCAAATCTCCAGTCTCAGGCTGTGCTTTAGTTTCATGGGCCTGGCTTTTTTTAGCATCGCTTGGTTTGAATCTTCCAAGAAGTTCTTGAGAATAAAATCAGAACAATTTGCATTGTACGTGCAGGCCACGTGGCACAATGTGGCGATAAATCTGTGAGAAATTCCCAAATAGGAGTCACATATGTGGGGAAGAATCTGGCCCACAGACTTCCTTTCATTAAATGCCTATCTAATAAAATATCGACAATGGCATACAGATGCCTGTTGAAGGAGGGGTGGTAGTTCACTTTAAGTTCCGAAACTCATTAAATGCATTTCTTCATGCTTAAAGAATTTCTTGCATTTTTTATTCTGCCCTGAATCAGCAGCAACAAAAATCAACCACAAAGGGGGCTACAATTTACATACTTTGAAATACCATCTAACAAAAGATATTAATGCAAGGAGGCCCCGAGTAGATCTGGGGTGGCTTGGAGATTTGTTTCTATATATGATTTGTCTTCTATCCAAGGCCTTCGGTATCATTTCACAGAGCAGCTCTTGCCTGCCTAAGTCCCAGAGGGACCTCCTGATTGACTTGAGGAGACCTCTACGCTCTCATCTTAGAGATACAGATGGACAGGTCTTGGGAAACCCTTTGGAACCTGCAATGAATTCTTTACACCCAACTCCACTGCTAGTCTCGTTGCACTCTCAGTTCAACTCTGTGTACATGCGCCCTTCTCTGACACAGAGGGAGACCCCGGGCACCAGGTAAAGACATGGGGAACCAGAGTCTGACAACAGGCAGGGGGGTGTGGAAGGTGGGAGGCTGCAGGCTTTCCCTAACCACATCACACCTCTGGCTCCACCGGGCTCAAAGAATGCTTCTATTTACTCCCCCACCCATACTGGGAATCTTTTAGTGCAGGGCAAACTGGCCCAGAGGCAACTGGTGAATATTCTCAGCACTTTCCGCTCTGTGGCTTTTGAACAAACCACACCCCTTCCCCTTTAAGCACCATTAATCACATGGGGATTGCTGCTTTCATAAATACTGGCCAAGCAGCAGAAATGGAGTTGCCTGGCTGGTATAAAACCAACCAGAGAAAAAGTTTATGAGCAACCCTCAAAGTGGAAAGTTTGTCAATACAGAACTGAGTGAGTACATGATCATTGATCAGCTGGTTTTAAAATACTTCAGATAAAAAAACAATCACTCCTTTAGCAAAAAGCAAAACAAAGTAATGACTGGAGCATGTTTGCTTTGGGGGTTTGTGTGTGACGGTTCACACTGTATGCTGGGGATGCTCACACCCACCGCTTGTTCATCCTTTGTCAGACTGCGGTGCAATTAGAAGTAAAGAGAAAACTCATTTGAACAAATCACCTTCACAAATAAACCACAGGATTCCAAATGTGACTCTGCCTCACTCACTTTGACTAAATATATATATAGCAAATTGACATCTTTTTCTAAGTCCAGAACAAAATACGCAAAAGACATGTTTTAAGTGCAAAACCCCACGCTAGAAAAAGCGGTTCTTCCTACGTTTTAGGTAAGGAGTGTAAGTGCCTACGTCTGCATGATCCCTGGTCTCATCTGATTTTAATTCTTAATCTGTACAAGCGTCTCCAAAATTAAAGTACTGAATCCAAAGGCTTCTATTGCACCAAGATGTCACACAGACTAAAGCTGAAGACCAGAGGTCAAAGTTCCAGTGTTAGCTTTGTCATGCAGGAGCTGTAGGGCCACGTGAAGTCATTGACAGAACAAGGTTTGTCATCCCTAAAAACGAAGGTTTACCCTAGATGGTCTTGAAGGTCCCTTCTAGTTTTAAAATTCTGTGACTCTGTTAAATACATAAATCTAAAGTAAGATATCAATAGGCTACTTCAATGAACATCTTTCAAACTATCCAATACTCAGTTTGATTCATCAATCATGCACTGAATCAAATGAGCAGGGAAAAAAAAAACCCAAAACCCCCAAAAAGTTTGTACAGAAATGGATTAAGTTTTCAGAGTCTTTAAAATCAACTTGTCAACATTCGTGTGGACCGATAATCACTGGTGAGCCACAAAGCATCAGTCAATACTTCCGTTTGTTGCATATGGCTGCCAAATTCTACCCCGCTTCCTAAGTGTGTGTACTAGCTCCTCCCTATGACAACATCACACAATGGTTTAGTAAGGCCGTTGGTGTGGTGGCACGCCAGGGATGGGTCACAGTTAAAACTCTTTCCAATAATTTGGTAGTGACCCAGGATCTAAAAATTTGATTCTGCAATTCATCTTCTTGAAAAAAAAGTACCAAAGACCGAAAAGTACCAAACAGGCACTAATTATTCAAAGTATTTCATGTGTGATGCTTTCCTTACTCTGCAAGGAAGCCAGAAGCTTATTCTACTAGATTCCAGAACAGTGACCCTGACTGCCCAGCACAACCGTCTGGGGAACTCAGTGGCACCCCAGGCCAATTAGATAAAAATTTCTAAGGTCAGGGCCCAGGCATCACTGATTTTTAAAATGTCCCCGGTGATTCCCACGTGCAGCTGAGACCCTTTGATCTTTGAATTCAGGAATGCTGAGTGAAAGGCACGGGCAGAGGTGGGCAAGATTTAAAAAGAAATCAAACCTCTCACTACGTACACTTTTTTCCTGCACATAGAAACATCCAGAAGTCACTATTCTCAAGAGAAGACCCTGTTCACAGAAGTGCGAATGTTAAGAATGTACACAATTAACCAACCAAGGGGAAGCAATTCTGGAAAACGATTCTTCTCTCTGCTGCCCATGATTCAAAGGAGGGCCTTTTGTTTGCGAGCCTGGGGACTACAGTGCCTTTTGTGGGGTCTTACGTTGCCCTGAATCACCACTCAACAGCATTTCTGTGTTTCAATTAGAAGTTCTGACATCCAGAGTTACAGCTTCTTAAAACATAGCTAACGGTCTGACCCACACATGCAAACCCAAAACACACCAGCGATCCCTTGTAAATTACAGTTTCACTTCACATCTTTTACATCGTTTCATATGAAATCTGGAAAGAAGAAATAACTCCACATTCTTCCTATTAAAATATCCATGATTCCTAAGATTTCACCGACACTTAATCTCAACCAGCAATCAACTTACATTTGGTCTTGAATTTTGTCAATCACTCATTTTCTCAGGCTCAGAAAAGCAGCACCTCCTTTTAAAGGGGGGGGGGGAGTAAAACCGACACCTTTCCTGGGATCTCAGTGACACTTCAGTCCAAACATTCAATCGATAGAAGCGTGATCTGCACACAAACTCAACATACACAATTTCTGCATAAATATGACACACTATACACATGATCAGATCCATAATCAAGTATTTCTTCCCTAGCCTTCAATCAGAGAGAGAAACAAGCTCTTGATTCCCTGTCTTACTGTTTCTCTTGTCCACGTTTTTTGGAAAGCAAGCCACTGTGCGACGTTTCATTTTTTCTTAAGGATGAGAGAGTCGGGCACACCCTATCCAAACATGTCTGTCCAAAGCTTCCTCTAACAAGCGTTGATTAAAGATTAACGAGCCACTAGCACAGATAACCTGGACTCAAGACTCCACATTCCCAACACGTGAAGCCCGCCCTCTACTCATCCTCCTCTTCCTCTTCACTCACATGAAGGCCACCCAGGGGCTTCTTACTTCTCAGCGCGGAAGGGGAGCTCAGCACGGCTGGGTTGCCAAATGTGAGCGGCTGGCTCAAGTGGGCCACCATCTCGGAGTCTGAATCGCTGGATTCAGATCCGCTGCTGGTGGAGCCCTCGGTCACCTGCAGGGGCGCCCGCTGGTCTGCCAGGCCGCTGGCACCCACTGACCGCACAACAGGGATCTTTGAGGGGGGACCCAGCTGAGGCGCACCGTTAGCCAGCATTCTACCTTCTGAAGCACCCAGGCTGGCCAGTCCTCCCTTTCCACGGCCACCAAGCCCATCCACTGCCTCTGGGGTCGATGCCACCTGGCTAAGGATGAGTGGATCGGTCTCTGATTTATTGTATCGACTGGGAAGACTCCGTAAGTATGGCCTTGGCTGGACGGGGGACGAGCTTTCATGAGGAGTACCCTGACTTGGGAGAGGATCTTCTCCCGTGCTCTCCTCTCTTGGGTCATGCCCGTTTTCGGAAACATAGCCCTGAGACCCAGTCCTGTCCCAACTCCTACTTGGACTCGACCGTCTGCTACAGGGAGACAGAGGGGTGGCCGGGGGGCTGCGACCGCCCGAGCCCCTGAACAGCTCATCTATGAGGGAGCTATGCCTCGGGAGTCGGGGGCTCCCGCTCACGTCAAAGGTTAGGTCTGCGGAATCATCATCCAGGAACTCTCTGGAAGGAGGCCGGGAGGACTTCACGGAGGGAGGGGAAGCCCTGCGCCCAGCCTCTGTCCGCCTCTCATCCCCGGACAGCAGATACACCCCACTGGTCAAATCACCCTCATAATTGTCATTTGTTTGGGACTGGGACGCTTGCTCCCTGAGCAGGTCGGATTCACTATCTACGTCACTGCAGTCAATGAAAGGAATGGAAGTGCTGCTGCCTCTGGCAGCCCTGGATGCTGGACCTGTGCTCGGCTGCGGGGGCTGAGCTTTACTCTGCTGGGTCCTATCCTTAACGACCTCCTCCTCTTCGTCGGCCGGCGCCCGCGGGGCTCCGTCCGCCTTCCCGCCGCCCGCGGGGCTCTTGGGCAGCGCGGGGCTCCGGCGCTCTTCTGCCGAGGCGCTCGGCTCCGCGGCCTCCCGGCCGCCCGCGCCTCCCGCGGGCTCCGCGCCCTCTCCGGGCGGAAGACTGGCACTCTGCTGCGCCTGCGCGGGGCGGGGCGAGAAAGGGGGAGGGTTAACCTGAGCTGGAGGGGCGGGGCTGTCCGAGTCTACGGTACCCACAAGCCCCACCCCCGCTCCGCCCCCCAACGCTGCCCTCCTCAGGGCTCCAGCGGAGCACCGCCAGAGAGCAGGCACTGCCAAGTGCGTTTGGTCAGCGTCCAGAAAGTTCTCTCACCATGCAGGGTCCCTAGCGGCCCAAGTGCGCCGCAGCCTCTGCTCTCTAGGACCCCCGGGCTCATACTGGGGTTCTGGGTGTCCGTGGAGCAGCAGAAAACACACCGCGGATCCCCGTATCCCCGAAAGGCAAGTTGACATGGATTTCAGACAAATGACAAAAACTGCCTTTGTTTATACTTCCAAGGGAGGTACAGGCAGGTCAGGCGCACAAAGGAAATCTTCATGTTCTGCCCCAACAAAGTTCTTATTCTCTTGTAGAGAAAACCCTGAAAACACACGCAGGGGCCAAGCCGAGAGGGAAAACGAGCTCTCATCACCCTCGGGGCAAGGGTGATAATGTCTCTTGGTGCCAGTTGTGTTCACTGCCGTGTAACAGGAGCCCTGGGAACTCACCACCCAGTCTTGTGCCAATAAAGGGATCTGCCGTTGGCCCTGAAAATGGGAGCTACACCCATCAGGTGCAAAGGAGGTCCCAATCTCTCCACACCCATTTGGCTGGCGCTGAGCTCCTCTCTGTAGACTCCCATGGATGGTTCTACGCCTAAGCGGGTTAGGGCCAACAGAGCAAACTTCTCCGGGCCAAAGCATGGGATGCAGGACAGGAAATCCCGCTCCAGGGCTGGCTGAGCCCAGGCTGGGGTGCACGGACCACAGAGCCCGAGTGTGCTCAAAGCCAGGGCACACGTCTACACTCTTTTCTACAAAAAGAAACCCTGAAGGTGAAGGGCAGATAACGCAGAAGCATACTATAAAACACAGTACTCAGCAGAGAAAGTCTGGTAAAAAACCAAACCAAACAAAAAACACAGCCGTAATAGTTGATCGGCGTTACTGACCTGTCTTGGCACTTCTGAATTCAGCTCTGTAGGCTGTGTGGCAAGGCTTCTGATGGACTGGATCTTGCTATGTTTCCTGGGAGAAATCACATTAGATACGTAAGTTGTTCTCTTAAATGAAAAATAACAGTCTTATGCCCTTCCTCAATACGAAGACACCTCAAGCAGGGTGTATGGATGCTTCCTGGAAACAGTCATCCGTTTCTTAATACTTACAGGGTTCAGGGGTACTTAAACCCTGAAAACATTCTCAGCAACCCTCTGCTCCTGGTCAAATGGTACAGCCGGTCAGGAATGCTAGGCATTGCGCATTACCTTTCTAGGTATAGGAAAGGGAGGGACGGGGAGGTGGCTGGGGCCTGAGGACTCTCTGAATTGCAAGTTCTGGTCTGACAATATGAAAACAGTTCATGTATTCTGGGAAACGATTTTCTAGATCAGTTCTGTAAGAGAGGTGACTACCGCTCATCAGCAAACTCTTTCCCAGTGTTGAGTTCAGAGAACTGCTGCCCCATGAATGAACTTACAGACACACAGGAAAAGGAACTGGCTTTAATGCCACTAACTCCTTAATCCATTCCCTTCCTTTGTCAGTGCCCTCCTCTTCCTCAGCGAACAGGCCTTAGAAACTTTTCAGGCACTCAAATGATGCAACGATAAACACAGAGGGATTAAATGCTAATGTACATTCAGCTTTTCTTCAAAATACTCCAAATATACAAGGGTGGTCACAGCTGCAAGTTTGTTTCGGCCAAAGTGAAACAAAATACCAAGCAGCCTGAATGTTTATCAATAGAGAATCAGATAAATATAATGAAAAACTTTCACAATCGGAAGAACACCAACAGAGATCTTCAAATCAGGGCAGGGTTTAAAAAGCAGGATGCTGGGGGGCTCAGTTTGGTTAAGCGTCCGACTTCAGATCAGGTCATGACCTCACGGTCCCTGAGTTTGAGCCCTGCGTCTGGCTCTTTGCTGACAGCTCAGAATGTGGAGCCTTCTTTGGATTCTGTCTCTCTCTCTCTCTCTCATTCTCTCTGTCCCTCCCCTACTCATGCTCTCTCTCAAAAATAAATATTAAAAAAATTGAAAAAAAACAAGATGCAGAATTATGTACAGTGTGAGATTAAATCAATGAAAAAGCACACCCCAGAGAAATCCTGAATATTCTTTAAAAAATTTTTTTTAATGTTTATTTTTGAGAGAGAGAGAGCGAGAGAGACAGACAGACACAGAGCCTAAGTTGGCAGTTGTTGCCTTTGGGAAGGGGAGAAGGGAAATAACACAGGCGGCTGTTGGTTAAGGGGGTTTAGCCACATCTGGCACAACAGTAATTATACACAAAAAGGAAAAAAACACCCAGAAACAGAAAGAAATATGGACGATTACTGTGTTCTCTGTACTTTACTGTAATTTTTTTTTTAAATTTTTTTTTTTAAGGTTTTTTAAATTTATTTCTAGGAGAGAGAGAGAGAGAGACAGCGTGAGCAGGGGAGGGTCAGAGAGAGAGGGAGTCACAGACTGAAACAGGCTCCAGGCTCTGAGCTGGCAGTCAGCACAGAGCCCGATGCGGGGCCCGAACCCATGAACCGCGAGATCATGACCCAAGCGAAAGTCGGACGCTTAACCGACTAAGCCGCCCAGGCGCCCCTGTACTTTACTGTAATTTTAAGATGTATTAAAATATAAAAAAGAAAAATGTTTTTAAACAACATGCACGCACCAAACAGCCCTCAGTGCAGCGCAGCCACAACCTTTTACCCTTTTATCTTAATCTCTGGATTCTCTGCTTCTCCCTCTCCGGGTAGCAGAGCCTTCTCTGCGCAGGGGGCTTTGATGCTGGTTGACCAGGGCCCACTTGCCAGCTCTGGGACCTGAGTTCTTTGAGCTGCGGTGTCTCCATCTTTATAAAAGGACCAGGAGACAGGCACCTGGGTGGCTCAGTCGGCTAAGCATCTGACTCTTAGTTTCAGCTCAGGTTACGATCTCATGGTTTGGGAGTTTGAGCCCCGCACTGGGCTGCGCACTGACACTCTGGAGCCTGCTTTGGATTCTGTCTTCCTTTCTCTCTCTGCCCCTCCCCTGTTCACCATCTGTGTCTCTCAAAAATAAATAAACATTTAAAAAAAAAAAAGGGACTAGGAGAGCACTGACCTCACAGAGCTGGTATGAAAGCTCTCTGAGTTATTGTATACAAAGTGCATGGAACATAACAAGAGCTGTAAGTGTTTGCTCACAGCAGCAATAAATCCTGCTTCTTCTCATCCAAGCTGTATTCAAGTTAAAAGTTTACAGAAATACTTTTGATTCAAATCCCAAGATACTTATGGACAAAGAGAGGATTAATTTTTTAATTTTTTTTTTTAACATCTATTCATTTTTGAGAGATGGAGAGAGACAGAGCATGAGTGGGGAGGGGCAGAGAGAGAGAGAGAGAGAGAGAGAGAGAGAGAGAGAGGAAGACAGAATCCAGAGAAGGCTCCAGGCTCTGAGATTCAGTTGGACGCTTAACCGACTGAGCCACCCTGATGCCCCACAAAGACTAAGTTTTTACCGTGCTTTATCCCCACTGCCATCTCCTGTTCCTCTTCCCTCCTGCCCTCTGGGGGCTTCCTCTTCTTCCTCCCTCGGCCCGCCTGTCTGTCCCCGTCTCATCTCACCCTTGAGGAAGCGCCCCAGCCCTCGAACGTTCCTGTCTAACACTAAACTGGCCCAGGTTGACTGTGAAGCACGAATTCGGTAATTCACCAGGCCCGGGAGAAGGAGGTTTAGGAGCAAAGCACGGTCACCTGGAGAGAATGACTCTTGTCAAGTCGAAGTAACATCGAAGTTTCTCTTACCTTTCAAACTGCACTTTCTTATGTCCTCCTTCTTTAACATGGTCGAGAACCTGCTTCTGAGTCCGACCGCTAAAGGGAAGATGGCGAGAGGGAAGAGAAGGAGACGGCAAGGGATTCCTATTTGAACACGCAACACCCCGTCTCTGCCTCCCCTCCTTCCATAACTGGGAGATGGGTGGGCTTTCTCAGCTGCCGGGAATAAAAGCGGTTCTAAGAGAAACTTGTGTTTCTCTAAGAAAAATGTGGGTCCATTCCATTTCTTGGCATTTCCCTTATAAATTTTTCTGTTTGATTATTAAGCCACCACCCCAAGCAAGGGTCTATATGCCTCGGGAACACAGGGATAATTCTGTTCACTGTCCCCAGTGGCCAGAACAGGACTGGATAGGCAGGAGACACTCCAGTGTTTGCGGAAAGATGGAGAAAGTGAAGCAATCCTGGGCAAGTGTACACAACATTCCAGGAGGCCACACCAAATATTAACAAGACACTTGCTTCTCCAGGGAAAGGAAATCCTTTCTGAATTAGAGGGTCCTGTTTGGAGTTTGCTGTGATGGGGTGAATGGCCTCTGGGCCAAGGTTCGAGGAGAACCCAGCGAGGAGATGCCAGGAGTCGGCCGGAATGACCGAGCAATCGCCCCATCAGCAGTAGTTCCCGGAGGCTAACTTTCCACTTATCTCCTTGCTGAACCGAGAACAGCCTTGGGACAGACGTTCCCATGGCAGACGCAACAGGTGTGCAGTAGAATCCTTACCTGAACCGGAATGATGACCCTCGACTAAAGAGAACGGGCTTTGGCTTTGGTTTGGGCTCTTCAAAAAGTCTAAAAAAGGCATGATGTTCAACACAGATTTTCCAGAACGACTTGCAAAAATCCCGACTGGCCATTAGAAATTCCAAGGTATCCTGGTACGAGCTCTAAAAAGAGAAAATACCACTTTTTTTTTCCCCCAGGACCCACAGACAATAGGTTGACACATGAGAAAAGGGCCAGAAAAGAAGTATGTCCAAGAAAATTTCAGTTGTGCATTTTATTATAGCATGACCACAAATTCACATAGTTAGTAAAATAGAGTTGTTCCGAATGACAATATATTGTCATCATTTAACCATTTTCCCCTCACAGAATTTCCTAGAGGAGCTAACAGAAAAGAGGGGTGATTCACAGAACTCCTGACATTTCTTGTGAAAGAATTCATACACAAATTTTGTTTATGTGGCTTATATTTCCTTCTTTTTTTTTTTTTTTTATGTTTATTTATTTACTTTGAGAGAGATAAATAGGGAGCACAAGCTGAGGAGGGACCGAGAGAAAGAGAATCCCAAGCACGCTCCATACTGTCAGTGCAGAGCCCGATGCGGGGCTCCATCCCACAAACTGTGAGATCACGACCTGAGCCGAAACCAAGAGTCGGACGCTCAACTGACTGAGCCTCCCCAGGCGCCCCTATATTTCCTTCTTAAGAAAAAAAAATCCACGTACTGAAATTCCTATTTTGCCTCCTTAAAATAACTGAAACACACTCTTCTTTCTGTTTTCTCCCTCATGGCTCATGCCAACTTCGCATACTGGTCCTAAGTCTTTTCTCTGTCAAGCAGCATATGGTTCAAACCTCCAGGTGGCCCCACGGACCACACAGGAAATGAACATTTTTTTTTTTTTTTTCTGGAACACAAAAGTATCACTCAAGGCTGAAAAACATGTCCTTTGATTCTGGAAAGGGGATAGTGTAATTTTGTGCTCCCAGGTTGAAGGCTCTCACTGTAAGTTGCTCTATTATATGAACAGGGGTTACTAAAGCCCTTAACAGTTTCCGGCAATTCCAACTATTTCGGGAAGATCTCACAGCTCCGGGCAGACCCAACTTCCAAACAAGCTGAGACCATTCTGCATTTGCAAGTAGCCTTCTAGAACTCCAAAAGCACTTTCCCATAGTAAACAACTTATAATGGGTGGTTGCTTCCTAGGTCAGGCCCTAAATGCTGATTTAATCCATTCTGTAGCTGAACTCGATAAGGCTAGACTGCCGTTTCTCCTGTTTTTTCCCATGGGAACAAAACTCTCCCAAGTTCTGGTTGGGGATACCAGGAATGAAGCATCTGTCTCTGCCATCGGCCATTTCCAGACATTTAAGGAGATGCTCCTTTCTCTGACCTGGTCCTGGGGTGAGCGACATCCTCAGGGGTTCTCCAGAAAACAGGGTGGACCTGTTTAGCTTCTGAGAATGTGCTGTCGGAGGTTTGGGGACAAGGGCAGCAAGGGCTGGGGACATTTGGAGGCTCGTACACCCCGAATACTGCGGATGCTGAATGGAGTCTTGAAGGGATGGCCTGGAGGCTGGAGCCCCAGCAAGTGCATGGGTGTGTGTGGGGGCGGGGGGGGGGGGCTGAACACTTTACCCTGCCTGTGTCTAGCCAGGTGACAGAGTGGTGACTGAGGGTCTGCCTCCCCCTCCCCCCCATCCACTTACATTCGCATCTGGGCGGAGCTTGATGAGAAAGCGCTTCCTCTTGAAGCTCAGCTTGCGCACCTTTGCCCAGTTGAAGGCATTGATCTTCGTGAAACCCTGAGAAGAAAGGGATCAGCCAGTGAGCCAGGAAACGCCCTAATAAGCAACACAGAACGTGGTTTTCCTTGCGTGGGGGGAGCCGCTGTTCGCCTGCTCGGTAAGAATGCCTTTTGCTAGAGAATTTGCTAGGATTTGCAGCTGTGGATGATTCCTGTTCCTGGAACATTATTTTTCACTAATTATACACTTTGGTATTCAAACTAAGTTTGCCTCCAGGGAGAGAAGCGGGCCTGGCCAAAGGAAGGATAAAAAGAAAGATAAATAACAATAAAATCCATGGCAACCAGAATAATTAGTGATCATCACTTTCTGAGTGCCTCGGGAAGGACTTTACAGACCTTATCTTATCAAACCTTATAGCAAACCCAGTGAGAAGGGTTTATCATTTCTCTTTTACAGATGTGGAAACTGCTGCATGGATTTATTTTAATTTGCCCCAAATCACACAGTTCACGTGACAGAATGAGGATCCCCAGCATGTGCCTTAACCAGCAGCGACTTAAATTTCCATAAAAGCGACGCAGCAGGTTGATCAACCCCCATCATGCACGCTGGTCTGGCTCCCGTCAGCACAAGCAGGATGGGGAAGGGAGCGCCGGCCTGTGGTGCGTCTTCTAGACCAGAGCACCGTCTCTGGGAAGGACCCACACATCCTTGTCTCTCAAAGTCAGGCGTGCAGGGATAGGGTGACGGAGAAGCAAGAGGAAAGCTGCCAGATACCAGCTCCCATCTGTCCTGTCATCTCAACTAAAATCCGAATCCCCCTGAGCCTGCTGGGACACCCGGACCGTTTATTTAAATTGGTAAGAATGAAACAATTAGGCACTGGCGAGAAGATTAATTCCAAGATACAGCCCTTGTACATGATTAAATTACTGCGCGATTCTCAATATTTAGATTGTATCAAACATAATCAAAGCACATTAATTCAATTGTGAGGCTCTTCTTCTTCCCCCTATGATTTTAAAAAACCTTTAAGGGCTCTGATTTTAAAATTTAACAGTAGGACTGAAAACTTTAACACTTGGTTTACTGTCGTTTCGCTCAAGTACTCCTAGATCATCTTGGCAGGTCAAAAACTGTTGAGAGCAGTCACCTCAAATACGTACACCGCTTTCAAACCTTCCCTTCTTACTCTCTCATATGAAACCCAACCTCGACTCCTCCTGGGACAGGGTCCTGTGATAATCAGCGTCCGTTGTAAACATCGGATACAAGAGCAGAGAAGCACTGGGACTATTTTGGTAAAATACGAAGGGAAAAAATAACCAAAACCAAATATAAACCAAAGTGTTTTAGGTTGTGTACGTATCTACACCTTCAAAACTGGTGAAGATTACCCCCACGTCTCTATACCCCTATGAAACCAAAGCACGGATCACTCGCTTTGTTTAAAAGAAAAGCACTGAGGACACTTTTGAGGCTGATGAATATGTTCATTGTCTTGATTTCATTGATGGCTTCAGGATTTACATATATAAGAACACATGAAATATGTTTTTAAATATGTGTATTTTATTCTATGTCAATAACACCTCAATGAAGCTGTTAAGAAACAAAAAGAAGCACTGATCCGAATACAATAGCAATGCGATCAAGACAGCACACACTGCATGGGGCGCCTGGGTGGCTCAAGAGGTTAAGCGTTGGATTCTGGATCAGGTCATGATCTTGCAGCTCGTGGGTTTGAGCCCCGCATCGGGCTCTGCGCCGACAGCTCAGAGCCTGGAGCCTGCTTCGAATTCTGTGTCTCCCTTTCTCTCTGCTCCCCCTGCCCCCACTGTGCTCTCTCTCTTTCTCTCAAGAATAAAAATTTAAAAAATATTTTAAAAAATTAAGAAAAAAGAGTACACATTTCAGAGTACAGAAAACTATGTCCTTAAGTAAAACACAGGTAAGAATTCAAGTGCAGTGTTTTGCTTCAAAATTACTACATTACGTGCCTTTTAGAAATTTATAAAACTGCTGTCTCTTAAAAGTACACGTTACCCTTTTCAAGTTATGTATATGTGAAGCCACAAATAAGCAAACTTGGGTAAAAAACCTAAATTAGGTTTTAAAATCCCTAAATTTGATTAAAAAAAAAAAATCTCAACAGGTAAAAAGAGGGGACACATCAGGATCACGTGCCAGTGTGAAGGAAGTGTTTATTTTGGGGGGGGTCTGAAGTCCTGCTTCTATGACGCTGTGTTTTGAGCACAAATCCACTGATAGGGATTCCCATGGTCCTGCAAGGTCAATAAAAACAGGCAAATCTTTTACTGTGCGTTCCTCAGCCAGAGCAAGGGCAAATGAAATAGAATCTGGAAGCTGAGGGCCTAGAAAGAAATGGAAATCCTAAGGTGAGGTTAGTTTCTCCCTGTTCACCTAAAATTAACCATCAGAGGTCTTAACTTCGCCCACCCAACATGCAATCAGAACCGAAGGGCCAACTCTTATCTCTCCATCACCAGGGGAACGGAGCTGTGTTCTCAATGCTCTTACCTGAAACACGAGAATTCCCGTGTTGGCAACAGCCAGGTTGATCTTCGTACCTTCCCTGTCCTTAGCCGGGTGCAGCCGGATCCCATACATCTCCAGCCTACGGGCAATCTCCAGAAGCTGGAAATCTGATTCTGCTGGTGTTTGTCCACTGACAGACAAAAATTAAAGAGAAAGGCCAGGTGATATGAATTGCCTGTGTCTATTAATTTGAGACTCGGCAACTTCTCTTGGGAAATAAAAAGGCATTTCATCCCCAACAACGGAGCTACCTCATCAGATGACACCCAGCTTCCCATTCACTGCAACCCAAGGTCGAGCAGCTAGGACAAAAGCATCATTGCCTGTGTAACACAACACCCCAAAAGTCCGTCTCACGTTTGTCTAGTTGTTTTTTGGAATCTCAAAGAGTTTCCTTTAAGGTCATATAAAAGGAAAATACCATCGTGTTCAAACACATTTTTAGTCGCTTACAATGGGCCTAAACTTGTAAGCGAAGTTCAAGGCAACACCCTGGCATACTATCCCCAGGGCTCAAGTACCCTCCTTAAAAACAGCAACAAAAACGAGAGACACAGAGCATCTTTTGAAAATATTTTACTGATCAAAACAAAACTAAACGAAACAAAAATGAAGAGGATACCAAGATGCTAGAGTTTCGTGACATTGCTACTTTGCCTCTAGTTGACCGTGTCCCTTTCCTGATTTCCTGTTCACTCATCTTATGCTCTCCATTTAATTCCACGGAATGGGTTTCCTCAATTCCAGACCGACCCCAGTAGCACAGAAAATCAAGCAAGGATCTTAGAGCTTTGGTCACCAGCGGGGAACCTGCATTTGAGAATCCAAGGTGAGGAACAACGGCCCCCAGCAACCTCTGTGCTCTTCTCCCTCACACCTTGTATATTTCTTCCCAATAGCTACTATGTGTGCATGTGTGCGCGCGTGCGCATCTACACCCACCTATGCTGGAAGGACAGGGAGAAACCGCTCAAGGGAAACACTAAGTGACCCGTGGGACTTACATGTGGTTATGGTGATACTCCACGATTTTGTCTTCTAGCGCATCTTGCTGAGGTATGTACTTGTTTTTTGCCAAATGCTCTCTGTCTGACGCTTCGTCAAAATCCCCAATCTCGGCTACCAAGAAACAGAGAGAGAAAACCCAGTCACGTACGATTAATACTTCACAGTCCATTACATTCCTCGGGCAGCATTCTCCGGCTAGCAAACCAGACGGCAATGGACAAGGCGGTCCCAGCCTGTGGGCATCCTAAGGGGCTGGATGCCAGAAGGTACCTTGTGAGGATGGAATTAACAGCTGTGCCCAAGTAAGAGGCTGGTCTCCACTCTCGTCCTTACCAGTTAGAAAGAAAACTTCTGCATTACCATCTTCATCCATCCACATTCCTGATTTGTTAGCCCCCACCCCGTGCCCCCAACTAGAACCATTTCTGTTCTAGGCAGTCAATTCTAGACATGTGGACCATGACCTTATGACTTCTAAATAAGCCCCAGAATTTGGGGACTCAAAAAAATCAACTTTGAAACTCTTATAGATAATAATTACTACTGCAAACCCCAAAGGCTTTACCATGTAGAGAAAAGCCAACGGTAAATAGATATAAACATACACAATGTAATTTGGTAAAGTAAAACAACTAAAGTTTATGAGGCTTCTTATAGTCCTGGTGCCAGAAATGACTGATCAGATGGCAGCTTCTTACAAATTTTTCATTTAGAAGGACGAGGAGGCCCGTTTTTCTCATGTAACCTCTACATAGTCCCCAAATTGCTGTGATCTGGAAATCTAAAGGAAAGACCTTTAAGGTAATAATTGTACCTTAACAACACTAGCTCCAGCTCAGTTTGTATCAACTTAATACCTCTGGGACAGCAAGTCGTTTTCTTTGAATCATATGGACTCTGTAACAAGCTTAATAAAAAGTAGCCTAATGACCAGAGCCCAGCTGTTGTGAGTAAAAGCCAGTGAATGGCTGCCATGATACGTCCCTTTCATTTTGTCATGTGAAGCAGCCCGTCACACTTTGGGCAATACACCTCCACTCATCGTGCAGGATGTGGCCCACAGGTTGCTATAAATCACAAGCCCCGTGAATATTTGCTCTGCACAAAAGAGCACCAATTCATCTGATTCCAGCTGGGCCAGCACGGCAATCACTCTAGTTTCCTGCTGCCGTGGCGAATCAATAACATGACTTTCTAAGTCCAGTAAGTCTGCAGTAAGGCCCATGTATAAAAAATAGGATAAGCATGATCCCTAGAAAACACCCGATCCCATTAGGCTAAGTAATGTATTGACCACTAGGGGCAACACTTCCTACGAACCTTTGGAAATAGTGTTAAGTGGGTGGTTATCCGAACAGGATAATTAAACGGGACTACTCTGGATACAACGGAAATTGTAAAATGATATACGATAGCACATTTTTTTTTTTATACTAGTGCTAATATATGGGACATAATCATCTTCCTGAAACATAATGTGTATATTCCATTTCAAGTAACTCCTGTCTTGTCCAAGAAGGAAAAAAAAATGCCCAGCTGGGTTGTCAATATGCTTTAGAATGAGCACAATCTAAGTGATCCTTTGCCTAGATTAAGAAAGCAAAATATCTAGTTTCAAGCATCACTAGGATTCGGGCCAGCTTCATACATCTTGGGGTTTACTGAACTTGGGAGAGCAGAAGACAAGAAGTGTCATCTTTGACAGTTTTACTTCTTAAGGCTAATGTGCCATGTTCAATAATGAATGTTAAATCCGAGAACAGGACTGATCGAGTTTAGTTTACTTGGCCGCCATCTGTCCAAGCTTCTCCTCTGCATCAACAGAAGTATCAACAGAAGCATACTCGTCCTGAAAAGGACACAAAATTCACAGGCCAGTATTTGGGGGCTACACTTATTAAATGATATTTTAGGAGTACTGTTTGCAATCCATGGGCACTCATGCTAACAGCAAAATAACACAAAGACATAATTACTGTTTTTAGTGGATGTGATTATTTTCCCCCATCGACCAGATCACTGTTATTTCCAACACGACCTCATAAAGAAACCATCAGAACTTACATTGTACGATGTGGGAGATCAAGAGAGCCGCGCTGGTATCATTGCACGTCAGCCTGCCTTGAGCCAGGTCCTGCTTCACCTGCAGCGCAAACAGGTACCTGTGAACGCAAACACAGAGGACGCGTCACACACCTAGAGGCTGGCGTCATGTGAAGAGGGCGGAAGATTTGGTGTCAAAGTCAGGTTCATTCTGGCAACTCGTCCACACGGAGAGGGACTAGAGAAAGGTATACAAACCGAGGAAAAGAAAGTCTGCGCTGGCTGGAATGAGTTCCCGGCACCACTGGCTGCAGCGTAAATACTCCTACCTCATTAAAAGGACCAGGAGACACACTGTAATCTTTTCACATGATGAATAACACATTTTGTTCTATGGCTCTATCTCTCCATGTCAAAACCTAGGATGGGGCGCCTGGGTGGCTCAGTCGGTTGAGTCTCCAACTCGTAGTTTTGGCTCAGGTCATGATCTCACAGTCTGCAAGTTTGAGCCCCACGTCGGGCTCTATGCTGACAGCGTGGAGTCTGCTTGGGATTCCCTCTCTCCCTCTCTCACTGCCCCTCCCCCGCTCACTCTTTAAACTATTAAAAAACAAAACAAAAAAAAACCCCAAGACTGTATCTTACTACTCTGTCTATAATTTTTGCAGGGCATAATAAACATTACATTTTTTTTGCAGATCAAGTATACTAAAAAATAACTTGAAGGCTCAGCTAATAATAATAGCTATAATGGTTAGGGAGAGTTTTTTTTTGCCAATGGAATTTGAAAGACAAGAGTGTCTTTTTTTGTGTGGTGTAATTAATATTCACTTAGGTTCCTTCAAAAGCCTCAGTTGCAGGATCTATAAAAATTAATTTAAAGTTATTTTCTCCATATTGCAGAATAAAGCAAGTAAACATTTTTTGGTGAAAGAGAAGAGGCACTTATTTATTTTGAGGGAGAGAAAAGGAGACAGAGAGCATGCATGAATGGGGGAGGAGTAGAGAGAGAAAGAATCCCACGTAGGCTCCAGGCTCAGCACAGAGCCCTATGTAAGGCTCAATCCCATGACCCTGGGATCATGACTTGAGCCGAAATCAAGAGTCAGACACTCAACCAACTGAGCCCAGGTGCCCCAAGAGATGATGTATTTATAAATAAAAGGAATTAAATAAAAACTAGTGCAATGTAGAAATTTGATTTGAAAACAAAAATCAGTATGAATGCCTAAATTTTCTCCATAGAGAAACAGGAGATTTCAAGCATGAGGTAAGGCAAGGTACAAAGTGAGCTTGTAATATCTAGTGATGCCAGGAAGCAAGACAGGTTTGAAATATAAATGGGTTGTATTAAAAAGCAAAAGAAACATCTGGAAGGGATGTCCACTCGCCAATGCTGGGGCACCTTGAGTAGCAACAAGAATAATTAAAGTGAATCAAAACACACGGAATTGATGAAAAGTCATGAGGCCATTTCAATACTCAACCAGAAAGTCAGAAAATGTTATCACCAGTGGAGAAGACTCCCAAAGCATTTCTTTATTCAAAACTTGGTAACCAAATCAAAAAATTGAGGATGGGCTCTGCTTCTCCAGTAGAAGGGGTATTTCAGGATATACAGAAAAATGAGGCAAAGTTCTTTCGGGAAATACGCCAACTAATGACAGCAAGAATCCTCATTCCACAACATTGAAGAAAATGATGGACTCTGGCAAGCACTGTTAATTGCTGTAAGAACCATTCTGGAGACTGGACATTTGCATAAAGACAAAGGAACATGACTTTGCCTCACAATGACAAGATCAGAACATTGCCGCCCCAGTTTATGATGAATCTTAGCACCATGAATGAAATGGGAAGCACACGTCACTTCTGGTGGATTCTGGCCCAAAGCATTCAGCTTGGATCCATCAAGCCTATAGAACTAACTTCAGGTTTTCTGGAAATGCAGAGAATAGAGGAAGAAACTAAGTGGCACCACAAGGAAGACATTTGACAAATTCAGGAGGTAGGATATTTTATAGATAACTGGTCCATCAACAAGATGGTATTATGAAAAAAAAATAAGGTGGGCCTCTGCTAGATTAAATGAGATCCAAGGACATAACCAAGTGCAGTTATGGTCCTATAGTGAATCTCATTTTATTTTTTAATGTTTATTTATTTTTATTTAAAAAAATTTTAATGTTTATTTTTGAGAGAGGTAGAGAGGACGAGCAGGGGAGGGGAAGAGAGAGGGGGAGACACAGAATCTGAAGCAGGCTCCAGGCCTCAAGCTATCAAAATAAAGCCTGATGCAGAGCTTGAACTGTGAATCAGGAGACCAAGACTTGAGCCACAGTGGACACTTAACCGACTCAGCCACCTAGTTGCCCCTAACATTTATTTATTTTTCAAAGAGAGATAGAGCACATGAGAGTTGGGAGAGCAAAGAGAGAGATAGAGGGTCATAGGATCCAAAGCGAGATCTATGCTGATAGCGGTGAGCCTGTGACTCCAACTCATGAACTGTGAGATCATGACCTGAGCCAAAGTTGGACGCTTAACCAACTGAGCCACCCAGGCGCCCTGTGAATCTTACTTTAGATGAGCAGATACAAACGACATATATGGGACAGATTTGAGTATGGCCAAGATATTATATGAAAAGTACATATTTATGCGTAGAAAAAAATCAGGATATCACAGTAATGAATTAACAATGATCACCCCTGGGGAACAGGAATACAGTATTTTATCTTCTTATACTTGTTTATCTGTATATTCTAACTTTGCATAGTATACATTTGCTATTTTTATAAAAATGAAAGGTTATTTTTAATTTTAAAAAAGGGGGGGCTTTTTATAAGACCAACCACAGAGGGTTCTATAAAAATTAAATGAAGTAATACATGGAAAGTACAGTGACTAGAATAAAAACATTCAGTAAATGTTAGCAAATTTTCTCCTATAAAAGAAAAACTAGGGGCGCCTGGCTGGATCAGCTGGTAGAGCATGGGGCTCTTGATCTCAGGGTTGTGAGTTCAAGCTCCATGTTGGGTATAGAGCTTACTTATTAAGAAAGAAAGAGAGAAGAGAGGGAGGAAGTGAGGGAGAAAAGGAGAGGGAGAGAGAGAGAGAGAGTTAGGAAGGAAGGAAGGAAGGAAGGAAGGAAGGAAGGAAGGAAGGAAGGAAGGAAGGAAGGAAGGAAGGAAGGAAGGAAGGAAGGAAGGAAGAGGGGTGCCTGGGTGGCTCAGTCGGTAAAGTATCCAACTTCAGTTCAAGTCATGATCTCGCGATTCGTATAGTTGAGCCCTGCCTCGGGGTCTGTGCTGACAGCTCAGAGCCTGGAGCCTGCTTGGGATTCTGTGTCTTCCTCTCTCTCTGCCCCTCCCCAACTTGTGCTCTGTCTCTGTCTCTCTCAAAAATAAGTATTTTTTAAAAAAAGGGAAAAAAAGATATGAATTACCTTTGTTACTTAAGAAACTCCATTATTAAGAACTAAAAAAAATAAAAATAAACTAAAAAACTACAGAGGCAATTCTGTAACCAGCCCCCCAAAAAACCCAAAACAAAAATCACCCACAGATCCACTTGTTGATAAGTTGGTCTTTACCCAGCCCCCTGATATTTATTCTTGCTCTCATGCTCTCTGTCTCTGGAAAGTCAAAGGAAAGAAAGTCAGAGAATATAAAAGAACCAAAACACCAACATATGGGTTTACAAGGGAAAAGGCTGTATCTGCCATCTTTCTGGATTCGGCAGGGGGAACTATTTTTTTGAGCTGAACACTTAGAGCTACAGGCTTTAATCTTCTATCCGGTTAATTTTTTAGTAGAGGGCATAAAAGCATTACACTGTGAATATTTTACCATCTACCAGTTCAAACACAGGGTCTTGTGTCCGCAGAGAAATGTTCAGGGACGGATCAACGGTCAGAATCTGATCGGCTCTGGGGACGTTGGCTGATGGGCTCACATAGCCTTCGAGTCAGCAGGGGTTCAGAAAGCTCACACATTTAGGCACAGGGCAAGGGCCCTTCTGAAGACTGTGGTGAACCTGTCACTCCCTAATCACGCTGAGTCTCCCTGTTCAGAGGCCCCTGTAATACGAGAAAGATCTTCCTGGGTACTAACTGTTGACTTCCTAATGACAGCCATAAATCTTGAGCAAGCTGGCTGCCATGCTAACTTTAGAGACTCAGCAACACCTTTCACATTATAAACAGAAACAGTCCCAATCAAACACCGGGGGGCTAAATCAGGTGAGGCTGAACTCAGCAGGCACTAAATACAATTCAAGGAGTGAACGCTCAAAGTGCAAAGCGCTCCGAGTAGAGTCAGTCCCTGGTGGAAGGGTGGGTATCAGGAGAAGGGCATGACTGTGCCCAGGCTAATGAAGACGGCTTCTGGCTTCCAGGGATGGTCAAGGTTACAGATCACATCAACCTGACACCTTGCTTTAAACGGGTCTATTTTGATGTTTCCACCTGGGAGGTCTGAGTCTCCTTTCTTCTCCAGTGGAAAGTAACTGACAAGTTCTCTGCCAGCCTGAGGAAGCATCCGAGGCCTTGTCGAATGCTGCAAGTTCTCAGGGGTCACTCCACCCCCACGGAGAGCAGCGCCAAGGAGAGGTGGGATCCTTCCGGAGACCTGAGGCCCAGGACAAAGTGTGCGGAAGCCCTACAGCCCAGCGGGAGTGACTCGGAACTCTGCGATGAGAAAACCCGGCGAGTCCTTTTCCGAAGACCCCTCCCCTAGCTATTTCAAACCTGCGCCTCTGAGTCACTGCGTTTCTCTCTCCTTCTAGAGGCTTGGGGCCCTGGCAGCAATAGGACACAACGGTTGCTGAAAGCGCAGTTCGGCAAGTAGAAAGGAATTCAGCCTCTCGGTTAACAGCAAAGTGCAATTCAATCTGCTCTGTCCACAACTGGGAAGCTGAAAGCTGTGCATGAAAGTAGCGGAATGAACCAGAGAGTTAAAGTCCCTTATAGTCTGCTGAACTGCAGGCCCACCTCTGTTCTGCTCTTGTCCCCATGTCCCTTGCCCAAAGTGCTGTCCACACAGAGCTTCTCCCCAACGCTCCCCCCCGCCCCCCAGCACTCCCCATCTGCTATAGGAAAGTGCCAGAACCTCAAGGGTCACATGGTTCAATTTCTGCTTACATGGGAACGTGAGAATGAGGGAGGCAGCACACTGGATCTGGAAGGTCCCCTTCCTGCCACACCTTACGACAAAGTCAAAAGTGACAAGGAGCTTCTAAGTTTCATACCAGTTTCGCTCGCCCTGGCACAAAAGGATTCTCTTCTTGGAAAAGATGATTAAAATGTCAGTTAACACCGGAAGCCAGAAAGCAAAGACAGCAGCCCCAAATCTGCTCCATCCAGCTGAGCCTGTGTTCGCTGAGGAATTTAGATTCCAGAGCAGCTGGCGACATCCTGGGCACACGTGGCTCGATGGTCACAGTTACATGGAATTTTAGAAGAAAAACCAGAATGGTTGAAAACCAGGGGCGCCTGGGTGGTTCTGTCTATTTAGGGTCCGACTTTGGCTCAGGTCATGATCTTGCAGTTCGTGAGTTTGAGCCCCGTGTCAGGCTCTGTGCTGACTGCCAGCTCAGAGCCTGGAGCCTGCTTCTGATTCTGTGTCTCCCTCTCTCTCTGCCCCTCTCCTGCTCTCTCTCTCAAAAATAAACATGAAAAAAAAAAAAAAGAGAGAGAAAACTATAAGCCTCTGGAGACAATGATTCACAAGAATGGAAAAGGTGCAAAACTCAAAGCAAAGTGGAATAGGGATGGGGAAGAAAAGGATTTATGTCAACTTCATAAGCCGGACAGAGGCAGGAGGCAAAGGCTCCTGCCCAAGAGCTGGACTTGCCTTTAGATTCACATCCTAGTCGGAGCTTCAAGCAAAGCACATTCCAACGAGAAGAAACCCAGCACAGAAACAGAGACACAGTGGCCCCAGCAAGGACCCCACAGAAGAGCCTACTGTCACGGGCTTGTCTCGTGCCTCCTGGAGTCCCAGCCTAGCGGTGTCACCTCTATGTGAACCATTCTTAGGCCACTGTGCACGCCTCCCAAAAGGCTGCCGGCTCCCGCAATTGCTGGCCACTGCGTGGATTTGAGGATTGCAAGTAGAGGGAGACAATCAGCAACTCATTCAGAAAACTCAAAGCCACGCGAAGAGTCACGACCTTCGCTTCTTCCTGGAACTCCACATCTGTGTTCCCGGTGCCCTTCCGGACCTGCCCGCGATGTCTGGCTGGCATCTCAGACGTAAGCCGGCAGAACCAAACTCCTGACGCTCCAGCCCTCCGTCACCCCCTCCTTCCGTCTGCCCTTTCCCATTTTAGTTATCGCCAGCTGCTTAAGTCAAATCTAAGCAACGCTCTGTCCCCTCAGCCTCCACCGCCAGCCCATCGCCAGGATGCAGGGAGCCCATCCCCAGCCACAAGCCAGCATCTGCGGCCACCCTTTTCCACTTCCACGCCTGCCAACTCCTTTGCTGCCACCACTGTGTGCGGACAACAGCAATGGCCTCCTCACTGGACTCCCAGCTGTCACTGTCCCCCAGCACCCACACGCAGCTAGACTTTTAACCGCACCAACCATCCGACCTCCGTCTCACCTCACTGCACTTCGCCCTCTCTGTTCCTGCCATGCCAGCCTTCTCTTAGGTACAGCTGAGCCTTGAACATCACAGAGATTAGGGCTCCAACCCCGTGCACAAAAATCTGCATGTAACTTTAAAAAAAATTTTTTTTAATGTTTTATTTATTTCTGAGAGAGAAAGAGAGAGACAGCATGAGCAGGGGAGGGTCAGAGAGAGAGGGAGACACAGAATCTGAAGCAGGCTCCAGGCTCTGAGCTGGCAGTCAGCACAGAGGCCGACGCGGGGCTCGAACCCACGAACTGCGAGATCATGACCTGAGCCAAAGTTGGAGGCATAACCGACTGAGTCACCCAGGCGCCCCTGCATGTAACTTTTGACGTCCCCAAAACTTACCTACTGTTAACTAGAAGGTTTGCCAATAACAAACATGATTAACACGTATTTTGTAAATTATATGTATCGTACACTGTGTTCTTACAATACAGTAGGTTATAGAAAAGAAATGTGATGAAGAAAACCCTATGGAAGACAAAACACATTTACAGTCCTGTGCTGGATTTGTACAAAAAAATGTGCATATCAGTGGATGCGTGCAGTGCAAAGCTGTGTTGTTCAAGGTCCAGTGTACTTGAACATCTAGAACTTGTTCCTGCCTCGGATGCTGCCCAGCTCTTCTTTCCACTCAGAAAGCTCTTCCTCCAAAAAGGAGGGACAGAGTCCCACAAATTCCTCAAAGGCACCACAGACTGACCCATCGCAAGTGGTTCACTTGGTCACCTTCTACCATCTTCTCCTCCTTCAGTTACCTACCTCCTACCTTCAATCACACACCTGCTCCTTCAATTACCTCTTACTATGACCTGATCCTTTTTGCTTCACAGTCATTTTGTCTGCTCCCCTGCGCAGTCAGGCTGGTCTTTTCCCCATTCTGTTCCCAGTGCCTGGAGCCATGCTTGCACAGAGCGTCCACATCAGAAGTACTGCTGACTTTACGTCGTCATCCCTTTGCTAAATGACGGTCAACCACCCACAGTATCCAGGATCCTGTGCTCCGTACCAAGGGTGAGGAGAAAGATGTGATAGGCTTGGTCTAATCAGCTGCAAGACTGAAAGCCACGGGCAGCGGGACTCTGGCTGGTCAGACTCGTGTACCGCTCGTAAGAGAGAGCACGCCCAGACGGGAGGCAGTGTGCCTTCACACACTCCCACCAGGCCCTGTTCTCCTTCAGCATCCGTGTGCCTTGTGCAAATTAGAAAATGAGGAATAGCTAGGGTGGTGAGGGTTATCACTCAGAGCATCCCTACCGGCGCCAGCCACTTTATGTCTCCTACTGCTCATCCTCAAAATAACTGCGGCCAAGCAACCAGCGTGGTGGCGGTGACACGGGAGTTAGCAGAGGCACAGAGGAAACAAGTAGACCAGCCAGTCACAGGGGGACCCACGGCAGGCATGACGCCGTGCTCACGCTTCTCCCACTTGGGCCAGCCCGCAAAGCAGTCCATCTTCAGCTCAGGCCCACCCACCCACGGCAGCAACAGAGAGACACGGAGCTAACCCTTTCACAGGGTCTGATTTCCCCAAACTGTCCCGTGATGTGACAGAAGTCAAATATGACAGCAAGAGGTTATAAGATCAGTTCACAGCCCAGCTTTGCAGAAACCCAGGACTCAAGGAAAACGTGGCACCTCCTTTCCCCCCACGTTGGTCAGCACCACTGGGGGCACAGGGCAGATGGGGGCCGGGTAAGTGCTGTGAACATGTTGAATCAGTTGGCTGAGAACATTAACTTTCTCTTCTCCTCGGCACCCTGTGGCAATAAATAGCAAGTTTCTAAACCACTAACCTTGTGAGTTCTTCTTGGAGTTGCGTATGGTCAGGTGGAAAGAATTTCACCACGAACTTCACAACAACATGCTTTGGCCCTAAAACGGGGGAAAAACAGTAAAGCATGTTTGAATCGTTTCAAACGCAATTAAAGAAAAAGACTTTAGAAGGTATATTATACATCAAATAATGGAGCTCATTCCAAGTTGCCAAGAATTCATCTGCTGACATCCAGGTTGCTGAACGAGGTGGTTCAGTTCCTAATCCGTACTTCCATATTGCAGGGAGGCAGAGAGCCCTTATAAAATAATGATCTGACAAGAGTATTTCATTCGGGTATTAATTTTTTTTCTCCGAAGACTTAAACTGTACCCAAATTTTAAAAACAGCCATTCATCAGCTTTGAATTCTGTGACTTCCTCTCTATTCCTCCCCTGCTCATACTCTGTCTCTCAAAAATAAATAAATGTTAAAACATTTTTAAAAAAACAGGCATTTAGCTTAAAAAATTTATCTAATTGGCCCTTTCAGTCAAAATATGGGCTTTAGATAATGAGGAAATAATGAAAATGTAAATCAGTTTTACAATTTGGTATTTTAAATGATCTACAAGGTAGATTCCACTGTGTTCATCAAATACGTATGGGCATCTGCATGTCAGGTGCTCCCCGAGCTCCGGAGAGAAAACATAAAGAAGACGGGACCCTGCCCTCGTCAGCCAGCTACAGCCCTTATGTGTGTCTTATAAACCACCTTACAGAGGTGTTCAGGCAAAATCAGAAAGCAGATCTGGGGTGGGTGAAGGATCAAGGAGATGGGTCACCTGTCAGAATTAAAACATCAAATAATAATTTGTAACCTTAATCAGAGCTTGTTTTGAGGTATGAATCAAATTTTATACATGTATCTATATATGTATCTATATACATATCTATGTCTGTATCTATATCTATCTATATATATTTATGCTCAATATAAGAGCAGTTTTCTGGGTTCTATCATTTGGAATGACAGCAGTGAATTTATGTTCTATGAAATATAAGGCACTATAATGAAATCCAAATTTTAACAGCAGTTGCATAAAAGCAGAAAATATCTCTTTGCTCCACCTTTTGCTGTCACAAAAAACAGATGTTATATTATCATTTCTGTGATCACATATTTAAGTTTAGGGAAAAAACCCAAGAGCAATAGAAGATGACGATGTAGGCAATATATCCAAAATGAGGAGAAAAACAAGGCACGGAAATAACAAAGCCCAGAGACACTGGGCCGCCTTGTCCCGACCACTCACTCTAACAGTGAATAGAAACCCTCGCCCGGATCATAAAGTAACAATAGCAAAATGGGGAAGGTCAGGAAAAGCCATGCCGTCTCCTCCCTACAGGGATCCCATGAGGCTACGGCAGATCCTTAGAAAACCGGAAAGTAGGAAGGTGCTACCCCTCAACGCACAATGACAGCTTTGTCTCACACACAACTAGTCACAGCACACGGAGATGGAGACCGAAGGAGAATCCTCACTCGGTGTGGACCCAGCAGTGACAGACGCGGTCTTCCGTCTGCATTTGGCAATGGGCTAAAAGACACCTTGCCACAGTTAGCATTTCCAGGAGGTAACACAGGGACACATGTCATCACTCTGGATGCTTCGCCACCTCCACCCGTCAGGCCTGGGGGCTTCTCTCAGCAATGTGTCCCCCTCCCCCACATGCAGGTTGCAGGCCAGCCACCCCGGTAAATGTTAAACACACAATGGCAGTTTCATTTTCAGCATCGATAATTGCTTAATTTAAATGACAGACGCTCAACATCAATTTCAAATGCACAAGGCCCACCCAGACAGTGTGCCTGTTCAGTACACCCACATAAACTGCTAGAAGTGGCCCAGTGGGATTTCTTAACCAGACATTATAACAATCCCAGCAAAGTAGTGGGGAGCCTGGAGCTCAACTAATGCAATGCAATTTTGTTACTATCCTCAGACTTTTGCTCTGGCTGCAGGGAAGGAGCATTTGGGATGACTTGTCTCACTCTGAGCTTGACCTCAAAGCCGAGAGGAGGGGAATGGTCCTGGTCCTGAGGCACAATGAGAAGGCAGAGAGAAAGCAAGCCGCCTTCCCTCACTCCTCCCCTAAATCTTCCCCAAAACACGGTATAAATGCAAGCCAGGCTCCCTTCAGTTCTGCCTGCCATTCAGACACAGACACACACACACACACACACAATTTTCGGGGACTTTATTTTTCCAAGCAACACCTGCACTCTGATCTCACAGGCTTTGAAGAGGCTGGACAGAAAACCTAACACCAGTTATATGAATCCGTGGCTCCACCTTCCTCTTCGAAAGTGACAGTAACGACACCAGGCAGAGACCAGGCAAGCTCAATTAGTCCAGAATTAATAGCATGCTTTCGTCGTTAATCAAAATGAGATCTGATTTTCCAAGCAAGGTTCTGATTGCCAAATTGTTAAATATTAAAACTGCAGAAGAGACATTTTAATGGCATGTGGATTCGTGAATGAAAGGAAATTATGGAGAAAAAAAAAGAATCTGCATCACCAGTGCTGGATGCCGCAGAGCAAAGGACGTCCAGAGGAGGAAAATGTCTGCCTTGATATTTAACATCACTGTGAAACACACGGTATATACTTACTTCTAATCTGCTTGACAATAGGTTTTAAGAGATCCAGCCACACCTACAAAGGAAAAAACAGATTGAGACAAATTCTCAATGAAAGAATGCAAGTGTTTGGAGGCTTGACTTGGAGCTGTTTAAAATCAAAATACTTTTGAGTATTCGAGGCCATCTGTGCCTATTTTCTGCAGGGCGGTGTATCTGACATCATCGACCGATTTTATAGCACAGGTCCAAACTGGCTGACATTATCCCTGAGCTTCAAAGTTACAATCTCTCCCAGACTCCAATGGTTAACTAAGAATGTGTCTCCTGTCATTTGCACTGTTCTATTCAGAGTTAGCTACTCAGCAAACACGGGTGTATGATTGCATGGCTGGCTACCAGCTGGGTGAAATATGCATGCTCCTCAATGAAACGAAATACGTGAATATATATGCATTTACAGAACAGCACGTCTCTGAGGGATATGGGATGGGAATGAATGTTTAGAATATTACCTCTGCATTGGGCACTCTCCATAAGCTTTTACCCCTTTCCTTAATTTTTTTTAATGCTTATTTATTTTTGAGAGAGAGCGAGCGAGCGAGCGAGGAGGGGCAGAGAGAGAGAGATAGACACAGAATCTGAAGCAGGCTGAAAGCTCAGAGCCTGACCTGTAGCTCGAACTTACAGACCACAAGATCATGACGTGAACCAAAGTCGGCAGCTCAACCGACTGAGCCACCCAGGCTCCCCGCTCTTTACCTCTTTAAACAGGTCAGAAGGATTCCTGCTACCCAGGAGAGTAACCTGAGACTTTTGGGACCAATAATTTGTCCCAGGCTGGCAGACGCAGGATCGAGACAAGGTCTATCCAGCTTCAAAGGTCAGACTCTTCACACACGTGCAGTTTTGGGAGAAAGATTCAAAGAGAGAGGAAAACCAGCTGCCCTTATTCAAAAAACATAATTTAGCCGTATTATCCCATTTCACACATGCTTTTCTCTAAATTCCTGGTCATTTGAAAAGGGTTTTACTGAAGCTCATACTTGGATGTATGACAAGAAGGTTAATTTGCCTAATATAAAGAGGATTTACATTATACAACATAAAGAGGTTTGGAAAAAGCAAACACTCACAAACTATGCAAAGAATAACAGGTAATTGACAGAGAAAAAAAGAACAATGGCTAACAGGGAAATGTTCTAATTCAGGAGTGAGTTGCACTGCAAGTCTGAATAATCAAATACTACTTCCACCCATTAAATGTGCATCTAGCTATGCCTCTGTGTACGCACATATTTGTATTATACAATTCCCAGATTTAGCAAAGGGAGCGGGAAATGTACACTGTCTTACCTCTATTGGCGAATACACGAATTGATACGTTTCTGGAGACTAATTAAGGAATAACTAAAGCTTAAAAAAACAGCTCCTATACATACTCCTTCATCCAGTAATGCAACTTTGGTAAATCATACATTGATGCACAAAGATTTATGTAAAATAAAAATGTTGTGATTAGCATTCTTAACAGCGAAAAATTTTACAATAACAGTAAATAAAATAAGTCTGCATTTATAGGCCACATTATTATACAGGCATTAAAAATTATGTTCTTGGTGAATATTTAAGTATGCAGGAAAATGTGTTTGGGAGGTTGGAAGACGGGTGATTTCCAGTCCTCTGCCTTTCTCCATTATCCAAATTAACCTTAAGTTGAGCAGTAAGAATTCTTATAATGCAAAATCTAAAAAATGTTAAGTCTCTACTTATTTAGGTTACTCTTCCCCCATCACCTTTTCAAATCAGTAAGATTTGTTTTAATTTTTTAAAAAAAACATTTATTTTTGAGAGCGGGAGAGAATGCACGCGCACACACAAGCAAGGAAGGGGGGGGGGTGGGGATAAAGAGAAAATCCCAAGCAGGCTCCTCACTGTCAGCGCAGAGCCCTGCATGGTTTCGAACTCACAAACCATGAGATCATGACCGGAGCAAAAACTGAGAGGCGGGATGCTCAACTGACTGAGCCACCCAGGTGCCCCCAGTCAGTAAGTAAGAATTTATAAGGAAATTCTCATTTCTGTATTTCGCAGCCCTTCCTGCTCTCCTGCTTCCCGGAGCTTATGGTCTAGTGAGGAAGCGACAGGAATCACCCGACCTGCACAGAAGTGAAGACGTGTCTGACCCAAAGGGAATGAAGGCAGGAGCAGAGGGCTCCCAGGGTCTGGGACAGAGAGGTCTGGCCCAGGCACGGGGGGAGGCAGATGGGAGACCTGATACGAACAGGACACTGTGGAGGGAACATGTCCCTGAAGATGATGTCGTGTGGAGATGTGAAGGGGAACAGACGAGCACATGGCGACGCACACATAAAACCTTTGTCTGGGTGCCAGAGGTGCGAGGGGGCAGCTGCAGAGCAGCGCGGGTGGGTCGGGAAGGGGTCCGACTCCCCGGAAGCCATGCTGAGCTTCTTCATCCTTCTCCTAAGAGCAACGCGAAGGATGGAAGCCCAGGGCGAATGCAGTCGGATGCGCACTATCAAAACACGGAGTTGGCAGTGTGGGAACAGGCAGAGGCGCCGGGTACACGCGGGCGGGCTGCAGAAATCGTGCAGGCGGGAGAGGCCGACATTTTGGACCGGGAGAGCAGAAGGAGAGCTGGGGGGAGCGGGTGCATGTAAGAGTTAAGAGGGGGGCGCCTGGGTGGCTTAGTCGGTTAAGCGTCCGACTTTCGCTTAGGTCATGATCTCGCGGTTCGTGGGTTCGAGCCCCGCGTCGGGCTCTGTGCTGACTGCCAGCTCGGAGCCTGGAGCCTGTTTCAGTCTGTGACTCCCTCTCTCTCTGACCCTCCCTGCTCATGCTGTCCCTCTCTCTCTCTCTCCTAGAAATAAATAAAACATTAAAAAAAAAATTTAAGAGGTAAGATCCCGAGGGTTTTACTGATGGATTGGATGTGGTGGCTGAGAAAGAAGACAATGGCCAGCTGTACGGATGCTGGCACCATGCACACAGACGGGCCTTTCTGTCTCCCTCAGAGGAACAGCTCTTCCTTCCACCTCAGGCCGTGGCCCTGGGTTTTAGGGCTGTCTTCTCACACCCCTAAGGACACTGGTGACCGACCCTTCTTGCTCCTATTCTCAATCTCTCTGCTTTTTTTTTTTTAATGTTTTATTTATTTATGAGAGAGAGAGAGAGAGAGAGAGGCAGCGTGAGCAGGGGAGGGTCAGAGAGAGAGAGAAAGACACAGAATCCGAAGCAGGTTCCAGGCTCTGAGCTGGCTGTCAGCACAGAGCCCGACGCGGGGCTCGAACCCACGAACCGCGAGATCATGACCTGAGCCGAAGTCGGTTGTCAATCCCGATGCTTTAAAAAAAAATTTTTTTTTTTAAATTTTTGGTAGAGAGCACAAGTGGGGGAAGGGCGGGGGGGGGGTGGCGGTCAGAGGATCCCAAGCAGGCTCCGCACTGTCAGCATGGGGGTTTCAATTTCTGTTCCCTGCCAGGAACAGGGAAGTTCCTCCTGGAGGCTTTCTGCTTCCCCAGTCAAGTGGGAGGCAGGGGCCGGGAGGAACTAACTGGAGATCTCCGGTGGGACTTCCCAGGGCTGCCCGCCCTGCGCTCTCCCGACCGCCTCGGGGTACCGTCTCCGAGAACCTTCCCCGCCGCCAGCTCCTCCTCAGCTTCCGCAAACCACTCGGGACAAAACGGCTGTGCTCTGGCAACACGGAGTTGCCAATTTCATGAATTGTTTTAAAACCTCCCTCGGCTGTTTCTGGCATCGCCGTGGAAAGCGTCAAACACAATCACCGGCCGGAGCCAGCGGAGCACGCGGGGTTAGAACCCGCAGGGCTGGGAGCGTCAGGCCGGCCCGACTCCGCCTGTCGGGTCGAGCTCTGCAGCCGGAGCGCTACAGCCGTGGGTCACCGCACAGCTCACCCGCCGGGCGAGAGCTCAGGGCCTCTGGGAACCTCCCCGCCTACCAGTCACACTGATGAAGAAAAATCGGGTTGCTGCCTGACCAGAGGCAAAGGACTGAAGTTTGATATCCGGGCAAGGCCCTGGGAAGCAGGTGAACTAGACTAAGGTCATCTTAGGCCAATCACTTGTTCACTCAGCCTAAGCAGAACAGGATGAGGTGCAGACAAGTTAAAAAGGCAACAAGGGCACCGTCACCTTTCCTTCCTGGCCGATGGAGTCCGGATGGTCACAACCGTATGGGTCCCTTCTACCAGGACCACACGTCCCTGCTCGAACCCCTTGCGACTGGGCTCCAGAGCACACCTGCACACCCATGTGACCGGCCTATACAGGGATCTGGTTTAAATGAGTGGATTTCTAGAAAGGTCATTCCAGTCAGTAAAACTCACTGAACTTCCCCTGCTGGGGTTTGATGGCCTATAGGAAAGAGGCCGCTGGGGCCACCATGCCCAACAACCACAGACTCGGTGGCTTGGACAACAGACATTTATGTCCTCACAGTCCTGGAGGCTCCTGGTGTCGTGGGTTTGGTTTTTCCGGAGACCTCCCGTGACTTGCAAATAAATGTCTGCCTTCTGGACACGCATGCCCACGACCACCTTTCTGTGCACATATGCCCCAGTGTCTCCAGTATCTCCAAATTTCCTCTTTGTAAGGTGACAAGTGTCAGTTGGATTCGGGCCCACTCTAATGGCTTCATTTTAATTTAACCACCCCCCCTTTTTTTTTTTTATAAATAGTTTATTGTCAAGTTGGTTTCCATACAACACCCAGTGCTCATCCCCAGAAGTGCCCTCCTCCATGCCCATCACCCCCAACCACCTCTTTTTTTTAAATCTTTATTTATTTTTGAGAGAGAGAGATAGAAAGTGAACAGGGGAGGTGCAGAGAAAGAGAGGGAGAGGGAGAAGGAGACACAGAATCCAAAGCAGGCTCAAGGTTCTGAGCTGTCAGCACAGAGCCCAATGCGAGGATCAAACTCATGAATCGCAAGACCATGACCTGAGCCAAAGTCAGCTTAACTGACTGAGCCACCCAGGTGCCCCTTAGCCACCTCTTTAAAGGTCCTATTCTCTAGAATAGAGAACTCAGAATTGGG